TTTAATTTTAAATTATGGGTAAAACTGTAGATCAAATGGAATATTCAGAGAATGTGTCATGGAATAGTAGTAGCCTGTGTGCAAGGCCTTCACAAGAACCAGTTTAAAAGGGCTGTTTAGCCAAAAGAGAGGAAAAATGGATTATTTGTGGCCAGCCCTTACACAACAATGGCCCATGGAAACCAGCTGGAACATCCTTGTAAGACATGAAAGAACATCCAGTGAATGCAAAATGGCATCTGAAACTGCGAGAAAGCTTATTTATATAACCCTGTGAAAGTGAAAATGAAAGGAGAAAGCAGCAAATGATACAGAACAGGATTTAACAATTTGTTAAGAATATGGTTCCAGCGTAGGCCCCGTGTAATTTTGACAGAGGTGGTCATCCATGCAGCTACGTGGATAATGTGACATTAGGCAATAGGCAGCAGCAATAGCCAGGCACCATAGAAATGTTGTGACAGACCACAACTGGTCTGGATAACGCACAGATTTTGCAAAGACATGGTGTATCTGGCTGCGGCCAGGCTTCAAGAACAAATTCTCATTTGCATGGTTCCATATGCATTTCCTATGGCTCACCACCAGGCCTTGGGTCACAATCCCAGGGGACCCCAGAGCGCACGGCAAAACTGGGGCCAGGTTCCCCGTACAAAAACCTGCAAACGTCAATGAACAGAAACATGTTATACTTTGCAGATTTCTTTTAGTGAGAGGGAAGCATCTTTGCCCCTAACCCCACAATGTTCTTTTAGTGAAGTTACAGTTTTAGGACAAAATTTTAACGGCACCCTATTTTTTTTTCCTTTAAAAAAAAAAAAAAATCAAGCTGTCATTGCAGAACATGTCCCAGAAGGCAGCCCAAGCCCACTGCCAGGACCGAGGCTGCACACATTAGGCCAAAATAACTACAAGGATGTACATAAACACTGCACGCGGGAAAAAAATAGAGAAGGGCCGCAACAAATAAGCACAGCAGACTATCATGCAAGTTAGACCCATTTCAAGATGCATTGCCGAGTTTATTCATATTGCAAAAGTCTGAGGGAGCAGAGGAACAGACAGCAGTAGGGCTGCAGCCAAAAGAGACAGGGTGAGACCAACCATTTGTAAATAACAGTGAAAAAAGTGAAGGGTAAAGCAAAAACTGAGAGTCAAAAATGAAGTTAACTGAAGTCAGTTACTAAATTAAGACAGAAGTTCATTCTTTTTCCTTGTTTTCCTATATATTACTAGTTTTACATCTGAAGCTGTGAACAAAAAAATTATTTTTAAACTGAAGGCAACACTGCCATGAAGTCAGATGATTTCATGAGCTGGGGCTTTGAATAATCATCAGGTTTGTAATTAATAATCTGTAACGATCAGGTTGCCTGTCAGGTAATAGGGTTGCAAAGGCCATGCCCTCAGCTGCTGCAGGTGGAAGGAAGCAGCATTGCTGCCTGCCACGGCTCCAGCACTGCCTGGGAAGACCCCAGCGTCCCCTGATGCCCAGCTGCTGCTGCTGGCCAAGTGAGGGATGGTTGAAATACTTTCTTTTTCCACAAGCTGTTTTTATACCGAGTGACATGAATTCAACTATTTTGTGGGTACATATCAAATAACATTTTTGCAGAAGGGCAATACTTAAAATGATCCATTTCAACTTCAGAATTTTTACTTTTAAATCCTAATAGCTTAAAGTAATTTTCCTTTATATGAAGACCAAACCCATTATTTTTCTGGGAGAAGGGCAAGGGATGAGATTGGACAGAGTCATTTGAATGTTCCATTTTCAAAGGAAATGAAAAGTGGAACTTTAGAGGAGTCTTACATTAGAACTTTTTCTTTTAGCCGGCCCGGGAATAGCATATGTAAAAGCAGTAAAAAGCATGAAATTTTGAGGATCAGGAAAAAAGCAAATACCTTCCTGTGTGTTCAGATAACTCTGTGCTTTTTATATTTCCCAAGAAGTTACTAATCTATTAACATTTTCCTTAAGATTAATAATTTTGGATGACAGACAAGTTCAGGTCAGAGTTTAACTGTTCTCTTCAGTGAATGGAGCAGAAGACAGTGTTCTTGTTTCATATTACTGCCACAGCTTATAAGGTAGTTGAGCCTCAAACTAATGTACCATCTAAAACATACAGTAGAGGAAAAGCATTAAGGTAATGGAAACTCAGCATTTCTAATGTTCCAAACATATAAATAGAACCCGAGTCAGTACATTAGACAATTGACTGGCTTTGCTTGAACGCACGCAGGAATAAATGGAAACATCCTTATTTCCTATCCCAAGGGGCAATTATTTCAGAGCCTGGTTTTGTGCATTAATAAAAAGCAAGATTCCATTGTCTGGTAGCTAAAATTTCTTACTATATATGCTGTATAAGCAGTCCAGCAGCAGAAACAGAAGAAAAACTCAGAACTCTAGCATGACATTCTCTAAACGAGCTCTTACCATACCTCACATATTTCTGTGTGTATCTATAATCAATAAAAGTATATTATCAGAATGGTATAGTTTGTATATTTTAGAAGTTCTGTTAGCTATTACATGTCCTGGCTGCGCTTGTGTCTACAGATGGTCCAAAATGCTTATTTCTCAAATGCTACAATGAGTCTAACAAATGCAAAGACTGGAATTTCACACCTCTTTAGGAGAGCAGCCGACTGGACTGCAACTCAAAAACCAGCTTTCTCCCAGCTCACCACTGATACATTCACGCATTTCTTTGAGCTTCCCTTTCCGTTCTTCTCCCTGCACACCTTCAGTAGTTTGCCTTTACCCTTTAGAGGAAAAATAATGGGAACATAAGAACTTATAAACAAAGAATTCAGAAATTGTACATATTGCCTCTTCTCCACATCTGTGAAAGAAACACATTGCCATGATGTGAACGACATTCTTACTCACAGTTATGTCCAGTGTCATCATTCATAATGTTTGCCCTAGCCACATGCCTGACGGACTAATCAGGTGTTGAAATGCCAAGGACAGAATAAAGCCTAGGTTCATGTTTTTCCTGTTTTAGAAAGCACTGAAAAAGCACTTTTTTTTCCAGGAAGGTTTGCTTGGTTATTTTGCATCCGAGGCACTGAATGCCACTGAAAGCTTCAGATCCTGCCTGACCACTACTGCACAGAATACTTTGGGGACTTCCTGCAAAATGCCATAAAATTCCTCAAATCAGTAAAATTGGGCTGAAACCAGATGGGACACTATCAAATTCCACATGCCAGGATTTTGCAAATATTTGTCATTAGAGACAGATTATTCTAATAAAGTCAGATTCACTAGAAGACAAAGCTGGTAGGATTGATTTTTATTTAAAGGAAGTCTTGCAGTTTGTGTTTAAGCTGCCTACTTAAATAGGCAGCTAGCATGATAATGACATCTTAAGGAAAAAAAAAAAAAAGATTCTTGGAGGTACACAACGTGTTTAATTGAAACCATTAGTTTTACTGGCAAACAGCGTCATATTTCTGTTCTGTTAATCTGAACAAAGTGCTGCAATTATGACTCAATACATAGTGTCCTCTAGTGCTACTTGCCCCCCATTCCCGAAGTATAGAAAGAAAACAAAACTGTTTTCAGTTAACAAAACATTCCATGCTTCTATCCAGAATACTTTTATTATATGGTTATCATATACATCAGAATTATATTGGGAACATTTACAAATATGTAAAGATAGTTCAGAACCTCCATTATTCACATACACACTAACTCACACACTCATTTTGCATGTCTAGTTAGTTATCAGGTGAATGATGCACAAAATTATTGCTTTGTGAACATACACCTCAGATTAGATTAATCTTCAGTGGCAAGAATTGAGATATTTAAAAAAAAAAACCAAGTCTTAAATACTCTGTATAACATACCTGTGCATAAACCTAAAGATATGTTTAGCTTACCCATTACCTTTGAAATACTTACCAAAATTAAAATTTGAAACCCATTTATAAAAAAAAAGTATTAAAAAGTTCACCATTATTTACAAATCCGATTAAATTACACATAAATAAATATTTACATTCAACACACTGCTTCCCTTAATACACATAAAGCCTCCCTGGAAATATTTTTTTGCTTTAATAGGCAAAAAAAAATTTTTTTTCAAAAATAGTTATTTGCTTATTCTTTCAAGTTTCCCCCCCAATTTAAAAACAAGACAATATAAATATATGAATAAAGCTGCAATATCCTTAGACACAGAAAGTGAATTTTCTAAAAGCATTTTCATTTTGAACTATTCCTTGTTAAAAAAATATCAAGATAATATCCACTGCAGCCAACATTACTGCAGTTTTTAAAAGCCTGAATATTTCCATAAAAAAAAGCATGTCAAATGCTATCAGATAACTTTTAAGTCTAGCAGGATTTTAGTACTCTCCTATGGTAATCCGAAAATAAAGAAAAAAAAACCCACAAACAAAACAATACAAAAAACCCCCCCACAGAATCATCTTACTATTTTCGGGTGTTTATAAAAAATTTTAATGTACATAAATCTATACCATTGTTTAATACTGCTTTATTGTTACTGTTGCATTTAGAGAGAATAAAACCCTGAAATTGTATCAAATAACAAATAGGCTTCCATCTAAAATCTGTATCTTAAAAACTATACACGAAGCTGGTCACCACTAGATACTTAGATGTGGAAAAGAATCTAAATATATCTCTTTGTATATTTCCATTGAAAACCCTTTATAGCACCACTTTACAGCAAAGGATTTCAATACACTTGTACCAAGTACTTATCTTCTGGTAATTGCTTCCACAGATAAGGGATACTGCAGCTTTTAGAAAGACTTGTCTCATGGATCCAGGGGGAATGAAGATCCTGAATAAGATGGTTTTTTTTTTCTTTTCCCCTCCTTTCTTAAAAAAAAAAACCAAACCCAAAACAAAATAAAAAAAAAACCCACACAAATCTCTATGTTTCCCCCAGCAAGAAGATCCCAGTCTGTGTTTAGGAGGAAGAGTTTAAAGTCTGGTTTCTCTCCTTTTACTTCCTGTGCTTGTCCATTTTATCAATGGTTTTGTTGGTTTCTGCAGGGCTCTGGTCGCCAGCGTTCATGTATGTTTTGTCTGCTATTTTTAATGCTTCATTTAGGTAGTTCTGGACGGATGTCATGGCAGCGCAGATGGCAGCACTCCCAAAGCCATGTGTGATCAGGCTAAAATGAGTCAAACAGCCCTGGATGCCAGGGTCCAAGATGGGACTAGGTCTCGTGTTTCCAAGAGGAGTTCTGTCCTGAGTGAGGAGGTCTGTGAATTCCTTACAAATCTGCCTGCAAGACATGAAGTGATCACACTTTACACCACGGTGGGAATTTATGCAAAAGCAAATAAATAAATAAAAATAACAGAGAAAGTCCCTATCACATATTTGGCAGTTACGTGGGAATTGGAGTTTTCAGAAATTCATTGCTCCATCAGCAGCACTGTCTAAAATTAAAGCTTATTTATTAGCACCAGTTTCTGATGAACCTTCTGTTATATCTGTCACAAAACCACATACACACTCTGCAGAATAATCTCTCCACCCCTGGTGGCTGGCTGGCTCCGCATCATTTGCTCTAGATTTTAAGGGGGGAGTGGGAATCTAGGGCTAGTTTCTGTGAGAACTTCCACAGCTGCAGTCAAGTGATTTATAAAGACTAAAGCAGCTGAATAGGAGATTCAATTTAGTTGTGCATATCATATGTATATGCCCTCTTTAATAGAGACCTAGGCCCTGATCCTGCAAACACTAGCACATATGCCTGGCAAAACATGAATGGTTAATAATGCTCAAACATATGTTGTTTGCTGCTTGTAAATCTGTCCCCTTGATGGGATTTCACAGGAGCTGAGCAATCTTAACAGAATCATCACTTTATCAGAATTTCTCAATCACAAACATCCTCCAAAAGATGATTGTTATTAGCGCTAATAACAATACCAATAATTACAATACTGAAGAGCGGAAGGGGTAGTGCTCAGTAAAAAGCATAATGTTCAAGCTATAGGAGAGAGAGACTATATTTCTAAGAGATATTTTTGTAAAAGGTGGTCTCTTTTTCAGGGAAAGATGTATTAATTCAGCAACAGGAGGAGTATGTTTTGCACGCCTGCTCTGAGCCCAAAGTCAGGGCAACTCTTAGCAGTTTAAGCAGGCTTTTCTCAGATCCTCTACAAGAGCAAGGGTGCCTTCAAAAGCAAGGAATTGCACCAACCCCGTCCCAGAAAACATCTCAGACCAGAACGGATCATGAACTGAAGGTTCTGTTAAACCTCAGCCTGGGAAGGCTGGGGGGGAAGGGGACAGCGAGCACTCCAGCCACCGGTTTAAGATAAGCGTAACTCAACACAGGTATTTTCTACCAGAGACCTGTTCACAGTACGTGGTTTATTTACAGGTACAAGCGTCTGCAGAACAGCCATAACAAAGCTCCTCTCCTTTACCCTTCCCTTCCCTGTTCATCAAGCTTTGCAATAGGAATTTAGTTAAGTACAGGGACGTTTCACGTCTACCGAAGGTTGGCTTTCACTGAACTATAAAAATCTTCAGCTATAATAGAGAAAAGGGACTATCCACGGTTCTTGACTCCTGGTGTCCCCTGGGGGAAACCTGTGTGCTATTGCCAAAAGCGGTTACGAGGACATGGCAGCGGAGCTTCCCTTGCACCCAGCATGCCCACCAGTAACTCTCCAAGGAGAGATGCCCCTCTGGGCTGCACGTACGCAGAGGTGGGTGAACCATCTCCTGCTCCCAGTCCCGACACTGGTTCACATTCCCAGGCCACATCTGCCCTGCAGGTCCTCAACCCTGTCAGATCTAGGGACATCTTAGCGATATAGCTGTCCCGGTATAGGACTTTTTCTGAAGTTTTTATTATAGTTAAAAGAAAAAAGAACAGAACTGTTCCCAACTGCTCTAGAGTTATCATACGGGATTATTATTATTATTGGTTCAGACTAAAATAACTGCTGCCATAGTTGAATTCAAACCAAAAGCAAATAAAAAGAATTGCTTCATCTCCCTGATTAAATTTACACATGAAAACGTACCAAACTGTCCACAGTCACAGATACTCATGGTCAGACAAAAACATCTATAAAAAGGAGAAGGGGGGGGGGGGGGGGGAGAAGCAAAAAAACCAAACAGCTGGCAGCAAATAACCTGAAGCAAAGCATATTCTTCCTGTTTGCCATTTCATTGCGGCCCATGTGTGGTCTAGTTAAATATTCGGCCACTGCTTTGGAAGGAAACTCTGTCTCACAAACGTAACCAAAGTCACGAGCAAGATGTACAGCTTCACCTGGCGTGGGTAAAAGGGAATGCTTATTAAATGTAGTTACATCTATTTATTTTAAGGGGATCAGGGAAATTAAGCAAAGCGCTGTGAATTTTTGAAGCATATTCCTATTTTAGAAAGGGACACTGCTATTTTACCACCATATCACTCATTACCATTTTCTAATTAATACAGTGTTTCTTTGTAAATTTGCATCAAGGAAAAAAAACCCCTACATAGTGACTGCTACAAAAAATAATTCTCTTGCCTTTATACTGGAAGGAAAAACTCCTATCTCTATCCAGATTAACTGTGCAGCAAAGACTACAATTCAGTCTAGATCAAATTGTCCACTGATATTTAAAAAACCTGGCAACTAAATTCCACTTAGATAATAAAGGGTTTATCAGTTTAGTATATTTTCTAAATATTTTCTAATAAGCATTTTCATATAGAAAAAAAAATTGTAAGGTATATGACTAGGCCACTTTTTTTTTCATTAAGGCAATTCGATCAGGCTTAGAAAAATGGATTGGCATGATCAGTGCGTTACCTGTGATGTACATGTGTGCATGTATGCACACAGAAGCTCTCTTAAACCCAGCTTCCAAAGAGAGGTTTTAAATGGAAGTTGCTGCATTATTTGAGCTGATGTAGAAGTGAAATAGCAGTAAGGTATTGTTAGATCATTTTTCACTTTTCAATTGCTGCCTCTATTCCTGTTAGATTGCACCACTACCAGAAGCTGCTTTAAACAAAAACACAAAACACAACCACACACACACACATACATATACACCTTTCAAGCCAGCTTAACTGATAGAGGGTCCACGTAACATGTTACAGATTAAAGGGGCTCCAGTTTCCTATCAGGAAGTCAAAAGCTATAAATCTCACTTTATATGCTTGTTTATTAGAAAAGCCTCTGAGGATACCGCTGAGGTAGGGCCAGGCATTGGAATCAGCTGCCCCGGACTTTTTAAGTTTCCCAACAGGGAATCAAACCCACTAGTGTGATGAGTTGCACCCCTTTTGCCTTCCCTGCCTGTCCCTGCACACACCCTTACAAAACCCCAAACAACCCAGCCCCCCCAAGAAACGCAGACTGGACAAACATGCATTTTGAACAGCTTGGCATAAAGGAGTTACTGCATCCCTGCTAGCATCCTTGCCAGGCAGCCGTGAGGAAGAGGAGTATTAGCCGGGTTTGTGCGGGTAGGGCTCTCAGGCCAAGGGCTTAGAGACCAGATCTGAAGGGAGAAGAAGGGGAGAGGAGCCCCCCAAAGGCAACACAGCTGTTAGTTGCTGCAATGTTCCCATCATGCTCACTTTAAAATAAAAAACTCTCTATTACGTTCATTGACTTTCTAGCCTTTCCACGCTTTGCCTAGAGGATAAAAGCTGTACACAAGGGGAAAAAAAAAAGTTTATTTTTAAGACACATTCAAGACTGACCTTCCACCAAAGATGTCAATAGTGTCACATTTGCAGCTTTCCTTCTACCAGCAGGAAGATTCAAGCCAATTTTATCCAGTTTTTCCCTTAATGATCTGCCGCCATTTTTAGATTTGGCTCTGTAATTAAAGAGAAAAACAATGGCCTTATTTATCTTCAGGGAACACTTCTTTTTAAAGATGAGAATTTCCAGTTACTGACATTCAATAGGGTTCTACTGGGGGGAAGATAAAAAACAGGCTCTTTTCAAGTGACCTACTTTTTAAATGCTCTACTACAAACCAGCCAGGATGAAACACAGCAGAGGTCAAAATCAAAATGTTTCAAACTGCACCATCGAAACCAACAGCTGTAGAACGATTACAAGCTGAATTAAGCGTGTGCAAAAAAGGACAGATAAAGTCTCCTTGTAATGATTAATCAAGACCATGAGATTTAATCCAAAAATCATTCCATGGGGAAACAGTTCGTCATGGGAATAAGAAAACTCCATGAGCCGTTTTTGAGACAAAAATCCAACTTTAAACAGAGAATGCGAATTGCTGTCAGAGCTGTTAATAGCACTTCTCAAGAAGCAGCAGAAGTGCAAAGAAGTTTTATTTCCAAAGCCTATTAGGATTCAGTGTTGTTGGGCTTCTTAAAAATCAGAAATTTGCCAAAAGGCTTTCTTAGCTCCTTGTTGTGCTAATCTGGCTGCTCACACACACACAAGCACAGGGAAAATTAAAAGAAAAATCACAAACAATAGACACGGTGGGGATGGTTGTAAGGGGAGTCGCAGCCTACCTTCTGAGTACTCCTCCTAGCAAAGAGGCATTGAGACACTCGGGGGGCGAGAGCCGTCTCTGCACCTCTGCTACCGTCACTTTGTATTTCGACGTGGAGCTCAGGAGGGAAAGTCTCCCCGGAACAGAACAAAATACTTCATTGGGGTTTATGACCACTCCAATTAATCCATCCTTTTGGCAGGGGAGACTCAGAGCACTGTTTTTCGTTAAGGAAATGGGACCTGCGGGAGGAGGAGGGAAAGCAGGTATTTTATAAAAGGGAAAAATAAATAGGAAGTGGCAAGTGAATTTCCTTTCTACAAAAAGAGACCAGGGGACGGGATTTCGTTTTGCGATAAATGCTCACACCACTGACCCCGTCCCCAGCGTCTATCTGCAGCACGGGGCTCGGCTGCAACCGAAAGGTCCCACAACTATTTTGCCACACTAAATTTCAAGGAGCTGCCGAACACAACTAAGAATACTTTTGAAAAAACGCACGAAGAACACATCTCTGAAGCAGCATGCTGCAAGTTAGCAAATCCATACTTATAAAAAGCCCAATACAACTGCAGAGTCCAAATTAGCATCCTTCAGCTACTGCCAAAAGCTCTTTCCGAGCCGGGGCAGGGAGAAGCCTCCCAGCTCCTGCTGGGGTTCGTCTTCCGCCTCGCACACGCGGATGTAAGAAACCGCCTTTGGAATTTAATCCCACCAAATTCATAACAGACAGTACAACAGAGAGAGGGATGCAGCCCAGAAGAGAACTGAAAGTAAAACGCTGCTCGTTAATGGCTTCAGCCTTTAGGTGAATAGGGGCAACAAAGGCTTTGCAAGGAGAAAGCCACAGATCCAGCTTTTCCATGCCCTTGCGAATCCACCCAGTTAACCCCCGGTGGTGTACTGCTGGCTCACAGCACTGATCGGAAAGGGTTAAAGAGCCGAGGTCGGCCCTGCTCCCCGGAGGGGGAAAGATTTTTCAGTGGTGCATCTGACAGCGAAATTATTCTCCCATGAGCTAAACACAGCAATCAGCGCTCTGACAAACACTTCTGCTTTTCCTCAGTTAGGTATTTGTTTGAAGTCTTCAGAAGAAACTTCCACTGATTTTTTTTTTTTTAAATCACAAATTTGTTTAAAAACAAAAGCCGGGGAAAAAAAAAAAACCCTAAATGACTGTAAATTGAGTCAATACGTCTTCCTCCTTCCTTAAAACCTCAGCTACAAAACCATTTCGATTAAGATAAAGCCGAGCAGGCTTATGCCAGTGAACTCATTCCCTTCTCAAGTCTTGTCAAGAAGTTGAAGGGGAAAAACAAACAAACAAACCAACCAACCAACCCAAAACTGTCTTCGAGTGCTAGCAACAACAAAAAAACCCCAAACAACAACAAAACACAACAACAACAGCCCCGTGCCACTTTACACACACGTATTCCAGGGCAGCATTAAATTCGGTCCAAGGTCCTGTCCTGGTTTCGAGGACACACAAGAGCAGGGACTCGTCCGTGCGGGGACGGCCGGTGTCCCCCGGAGGAGTCTCGCCGCCGCCGCGCCGGGGCGGCCCCGGGTTTGTCCCCGCGGCACACGGGGACCGGGCAGTCCCCGCCGCCACCTTCCCTCGGACGGCCTTAGAAAAATCCAGCGACGGAGAGAGTGTAACAAAACCCCCTCCACCCTCCCGATCCTAAAGGATCTGTCTTTTTTAAAAGATAGTAAGGCGTCAATTCACCGGTGCGTCATTAAACTTTAACTATTGACAAGGGAAAGTAAACTGCAGTGCCACCTTACTGACCTTTTCTAATGACTGTCTGGTCATGCATTAATAAGTGTTGATCTTCCACATTCTGGAAAGAGAAAGGGGAGAAAGTTTCGCACCTTGAAAAGCTGAGAGGGAACGAGCCGGGGGCTTTTGGGAAACCCACCCCCGCCCCGCGCGTCCCCATTTTAAGGACGGAAAGGGAGAAAAGGCGGGTTTCGCTCCGAGGACGGGGACGAGGCAAGTAAAGCTGGGATGTGCAGAGGGGGACGGTGCCTGGCTCCGCAGCGGAGCGCTCGGGCATCCCTGGCAGCCGGGGAGCGCCTGTCCCGCCCGCCCTCCCACGATGCGCGGGGCGGCCCGAG